ATATGAAATAGTCATAGCTGGATGATAAAAGTAATTCTTATCAATTAAAATTATAGGCTTCCTGGCTTCAGTCAGTTTTAATTTTGAGATGGACAAGTTCATTTTACAATGTAAGAATTGAATTCGTTTTTTTTTCTGTTAATTGTTAGTATATTGTATGTAGCCTCTCGATATTATATCACTAATAATAAGGATACTGCTACAAACCTTACAGTGACAATACTTATAGTGGTTCGGTGATACGTAATTAAAAAGATGTGGTTAGTGAATATTTTTGAAAGAGAGGAGTGGAATAGTCTGACAGCATATTTCCTTTCCACAGAAAATTATCGTGTTGAAGAGACGTATCAGAATCATCTCATCATCAAACTGGCTGTGGTAAGTTCTTGTACTTATTTTGTATAGCTCTGCTAACTTGATGTCATGATAGATATAATAAATAATCCATTTAGTTCCTTTGTTATGTATGATCTATAATGTAGATAATGTATTGCATACAGTTCATATAGTGTAGAGTATATGTTTTAATTTTTTTTATGTATATATCTATAAAGCATATTTCACGAAATAACGAAATCGATAAAAGTAGGTCTTCCTCTTTCTGTTCTCTCTAGGCAAGAGCTATTCGGAGTTAGCAGACAAAGAGTTTAAACTTGTAATCTTAATGCCCTGAAAGCGAGAGCAAAAATGAAAAGACCTGTTTCAATTAACCTTTAGAATGAAGTTATTTGCTTGCAAACATATTTAATAGCTAATAAGGCATTCCGTTTCGAACTATGTTTACTAGATAAACGGAAAAAAAGTCAATGTTTTCCTGGAAAGAATGCCTGCTGAAAGATTAAAGCACTAAATGTTACGTTTTTCTTTCAGTTTCGTTTTGTGAACTCCTTTCTGTCGCTCTTCTATATCGCATTCTACCTACAAGACATGGAGAGGCTTAAAGAAGTAAGTGAAATATGGGGCGTCTCCCGTAGAGTTTTGTAGCTCTCGTTAATTGCTTTATGTGATGATTTTATTAATGTTTGTGAAGATCTTAATAATATAATCTTTGGCAGACAATGATGCTAGCAATAATACTAGTAGTATTAATAACCATAATAATAATGATAACAGTAATACTAAAGATAATAACAATGACAATTTTGATAATGATGATGATAATAATTGTCATCATCATTATTGTTAAAATCAATATTATTGTTATCATCATTATATCTATCAATGATATTATCATCTTATTGTTATCATTATTATCGTTATTATTCTACCTATTACCATTATTATAAGTATGGCTATTACTGCTGTTGTTATTGTTATAATCATGATTATTATTGCTATTGGCATTACTATTATCTTATTAATATTATTATTGGTATCATTATTATCTTATTATTATTGTTGTAATCGTTATCATTACCATTATCATTATACTATCATTATTATCAAACATTATTATTATTTTTATTATCATTGTGAATGCCATTATCTTTAAAACGATTATCATTGTCATTTTTATTATCGTTATCCTTATCATCATAATCATGATCATTATTGTTATTATTATAATTATTATTATCATTGTTGATATTATTGTTGTTGTTGTTGTTCTTCTTCTTCTTTTCTTTTTATTTTTCTAGCTCTTATTATTATTATTATTATCATTTTATTATTATTATTATTATTATTATTATTATTATTATTATTATTATCATCATTATTTATTATCATTGTTATTATCATAGTAATAATAATTAATATCAACATTATTATCATTGCTATTGTTGCTACTTTTGCTGTTATTATTATTATTATTATTATTATTATTATTATTATTATAATTATCACTTCCATTATTATTATTATTATTATTATTATTATTATTATTATTGTTATTATTATTATTATTATTATTATTATTATTATCATTATTATTATTATTGTTGTTGTTGTTGTTATTATAAGTATTAGTATTATTACTTTATTATGATTATTATTGTTGTTGTTGGTGTTCTCTTATTATTATTATTACTATTTTCATCATCATCATTGTTATTATTTTATTATTATTATTATTATCATTAAATAACTACAGGCACGTGCATTTTTTACAAGCTTTAATAATAATAAAAAGAAAGCTATATATACACACCCATGCCAAATCACATGGATAAAATATATCAATTATGTCATGAAATAAAAGATATTAAATAATGTTACAGAATAAAATTACATTCGCAACTTTCACAACATTGCCTCATCTAGTGAAGTATTGTTAGATCTTGACTAACAATATACTACTCTGCTACTCAAAGCTGAAAGAACAATTTCATCGTGTTCAACAAATTGTTTTTCTTCATATTTATCAAATTTTCAATCATGAATTTTGGGAATAAATATCAACAAATAACATGAAAAGTAAAAACTCCCATGAACAAAATGACATGCAAATATTAGATACAATATAACAAAACATATTTTTTATTACTACTGAATATTCCTTTGTTTCATAAATGACAAGATAAGGGGGTGTGACGTCATGCACTATGCAATTCTAAAATAATCCGTGTTTACATGTTTACAGTTTCCCATATTCTTCCATATTTTCCCCCAATATACTTAGCAAAAATAACAAAAAGTCGACACGCGTTAATTAAGAGGGAAAAGAATAAAAAATCCTCATATTATTTCTATATCATTTAAATAATTATATTCATATAATATTTATATCATCATCATCGTCGTTGTTATTAAACAGTGTTATCATTATCATGAATATCATTATTATTGTTATTAATATCATTATTATGATTATTATCTTTATTACTAGTAGTATTTGCATTATTATTGGTGTTATTGATGTTGTTGTCATAATGAAACTGATGATTATCATTTTCATTATTATCGTTTTACCATCATTGTTATTCTTATCTTCATGGTTATTACCACCCTTTTCATTAGTATTATTTTCTCAAAATAAGTAATTATACACAAACAATATCGAAAATAACAATAACAATGACGATAATGATCTCAAATAACATCGGTAACATCATCAAACTTGGAAATAACAAGAATAATAACAACAATAACAACCCCGCCTAAGATAATATCCAACACTCACAACATCAAAATTCCCACAGCAACTCGCCGCTCTCCTCCTCACGCGCCAAGTCGTAGGCAACATCAAGGAATCCTGCATACCGTATCTTCTCGAGCAGTTCAAGCTTGCCAAACTGAGCTTCGACTTGTACGGCGCTTTGTCGCCTTCAGAGGAAAGCAAAGAGCAAGATTGGCCGCAAGAAAACCCCCCACAACCTGCTGGAGAACAGACACAGGTGAGGGATGCTGCAGTGGCTGTGTTGTTGTTGAGGTGCACGCAGACAGAGAAACATATATCTGATTATTATCTGTACACTATTATAGACTGTTTTTTTTTTTTTTTTTTTTTTTTTTTTTTTTTTTCTCGAGTCGAATGTTTAAGATATTTTTTTCTCTTTTTTTTTCTTCTTCCTTCTTACAAGGCTCTAGATGTTTTTTATTTGTTTTTTGTTCTGCTTTGCCATTAGTTTTTTTTTTTTTTCTTTAGTCTACATTTTTTTTTCTTTTTTTAATTCCAGGCATAGTTTTTTTTTCTTCTTCTTAAAATCTTTACTACGAAGATGAGGAAGATTTCAATAGTCTCAGTCTTGTCTTCTGTCTATTGCTCATTAGGAAGAGTGTACGTCTGTCTGTCTATCTGTCTGTTTGTCTGCAGTTAAATAACTCCCTCTGTCTCTCTCTCTCTCTCTTTCTATCTATCTAGCGATATCATACTCTTCCTCAGTTTCAATATTTCTCTATATCTTTATTTATCTATATATCTCTCTCTTACTTTTTCTCTCTTTCTCTCCCTCCTCTCTCTCTCTCTCTGTCAATCTCTTTCTCTCTCTCTCTGTCAATCTCTTTCTCTCTCTCTCTGTCAATCTCTTTCTTTCTCTCTCTCTCTCTCTCACTCTCTTTTCTCCTCTCTCTCTTTGTCATTCTCTCTCTCTTTGTTATCACTCTTCCCAAATCTCTTTCTCTCATTCTTCCCCCTCCGGCTTTCTCACTATTTTTTTCTGTCTATCTATCTTATTCTTACTCGGTTTCAATCTTTCTCTTTCTCTTTCTCTCTCTCTCTCTCTCTCTCTCTCTCTCTCTCTCTCTCTCTCTCTCTCTCTCTCTCTCTCTCTCTCTCTCTCTCTCTCTCTCTCTCTCTCTCTCTTCTTTATGTACACCTTAGTCACACAGTTCATAACCATCTAGATTCTCTGATGCAGGTTTAGAATCAATTTACAGTCTGATATTGTTTGATGCTGTTCATTCTCATTGTTACTGTAAGATAATGGCTTTTTTCCAGTTATCACCTCTTTCGCTTTTGAATTTAAACGTTTTATTATTGCTGTATCACCCAATTATAAATCATAATAATAAGAAAAAAACTTATTTTGAGTTATTTCACATTTCATTATAACCATTCCAGTAAATCCTGTCTTATTGTGTTAATACCGACTGTTCTGACATCAGATGTCAGTATGAAAGTTAACAAAATATAATGTTAGTAGTAGTCATACAAAGCCTATTTATGTAAGTAAAGATTAATTCAAATACTTCGTATCTCTTATGTCGAAAAAAATGACATACTAATCTTATAACATAAATGAACCTGAATAATGGTCACATAAGCAAAACAAAATTTGTCATGTATATTATTTTTAAAGAAATCAACTAGAAAAAAAGGTAATGAAAATATCCAAATTCACCCAAAGCCAAAGGAAGAGGCTAAGGAGGTTGTCTGGACCGTGTATAAGTAGCCGTTTTTCGTGCTTTTAGTGAAGGTTTTAGATGAACATAATGTTTTGCTTTTACCTTCATGCCTCACCCAGGTTGGAGGTAAGAAGGTTCACCAAGCAGCAGCTGTAGTAGGGCAATCGTCTCCACTTGGGTCATGCACACGTGGCCGTATTACCTGTGCTCATGCACCGCTGTCTCCCTCCGCTGTGTCATGCACGGTCCAACACGACCCGATTTTCATGCCTTCTCTTCCCATCCCTTGAATTTAGCTCATAATCTATGGAATCTTAAAGTCCCGTCAGAGATCTCTCTTCCTGAATAACTAAGTGATGTTGTCTAAAGTCTTACATTATTTTTGGTTATTTGATTTTGTTATTGTATTATTTAGATATTCTCCCACTTTCTTCCGTGTGATGATTTTTTAAAAATAATTTTCTGTTCTTTATCTGTTTCCTTTTTGGTAATCTTATAGGATTTTTTTAAAAATTCTTCCTGCTTTCTTTTTTTTTTATTCTCCTGAGAGTAGAATCTTAACTGTAAAAGTACTTCTTCACATATGTCTGATACTAAATTCCGCTTTGTGTGTCGTTGAGTGGTTGCTGGTGTAGCTCCTCTGACCTCTTAAGGTGTTCTCAGTCTATCTCTCTCTCAGACTCTTTGAAATTACGTTTCTTCCCTTTTATATCCTTCCTTTTTTATGTGTATGATTGGTTATTTAGTTACTTGGATAAATCTTATCGTCATTATTATCATTGTTGTTGTTGTTCGCACATCCTTTTACCGGATTTGTTTGTGTCTGTGTCTGTTTCTGTCTGTCTGTCTACCTATTTGTCTCTGTCCCTTCTTCTTACTCTCTTTCTAATTCTCTCTCTCTCTCTCTCTCTCTCTCTCTCTCTCTCTCTCTCTCTCTCTCTCTCTCTCTCTCTCTCTCTCTCTATTCCTCTCTGTCCCTCCCCTCCCTCTCTCTGCCTCCTCCATTTCTCTCCCGATATTTCTGTTTCTTTTAATGGGAAGCTGATAATGCATCTCCCTTTCCTATCTATTTCGACATGGGACATCAGATCCTTTTAACAAACGGATTAACATATGCCAGGAAGAGAGAGATAGAGAGAGAGAGAGAGAGAGAGAGAGAGAGAGAGAGAGAGGGAGGGAGGGAGGGAGGGAGGGAGGGAGATTGAGAGAGAGAGGAGAGAGAGAGAGAGAGAGAGAGAGAGAGAGAGAGAGAGAGAGAGAGAGAGAGAGAGAGAGAGAGAGAGAGAGAGAGAGAGAGAGGAGAGGGAGGGAGATTGAGAGAGAGAGAGAGAGAGAGAGAGAGAGAGAGAGAGAGAGAGAGAGAGAGAGAGAGAGAGAGAGTTAGACAGAGTGAGGGAGAGAGAGAGAGAGAGAGGGAGATTTAGGTACATACATAAATAGACAGATGCATAGGTAGATTTAGAGGGAAAGAGAGAGAGAGAGAGAGAGAGAGAGAGAGAGAGAGAGAGAGACAGACAGACAGACAGACAGACAGAGAGAGACAGAGATAGATAGAGAGAGAGAGAGAGAGACAGAGATAGAGAGAGAGAGAGAGAGAAAGAAATCAGCAGATCGATAGACAAATACACAAATATACAGACAGAGAGAGGACAGAAAGCAGGGAGAGCAGAGTGAGAGACAGAGAGAAACCACCGCAGAGAAACAGAGGGACAAAGACCACAGTGCCACAAGTACACGCTCCTCCCATTCTACTAAATGAATAATCAGCTGTAGCAATTCCTGTAGTTGATCTAATTCCAATTTCGTAATTTCTGAAGAAAGAAAATCGTAGCTACCCGTTGAAAGCAATAAGCTTGTAGATAGAATTATCCTTAAACTTAAAACAAAAAAATCTAAGTACATATATATATTGTTATGGGTTGTGCTTTCAGAATCAAATATATTCCTTTTTTAGTGCATAGGAGTAATGGCTTTTAACGACTAGATAGCAGGGATTAAGTTAGAAAAGCCTGTGTACTCTTCCGTAGTTCGTATTGAAGTTAGTTAGTCTCGAGATATTTATTACCTACCTTTTTCACTCTCGTTTTCTTTAATTGCACATTTTAATTCCTCTTTCCATTTCATTAATCCCCCCTCCCCTCCCTTTTATAGCTTTTTTCAAACGTTTTACGTGGCTTTCACTTTTTTATATAAAATCATATTTTGTCTTATTACGATTTTTGGAAGGGTCGTCACATTTCTCTGTCGGAAATTGACCTATTTTTTTCTCCATTTCTTATGGAATCAAAAAGGGTTCGATAGGATAGCCTTATAAAAGCATAATAAAACAACATATACAATCAATTATAAACAGAATACAGTGTCATTAAGTGACGATAAAGAAACACACACATACACACACACACACACACACACACACACACACATATATATATATATATATATATATATATATATATATATATATATATATATATATATATATATATATTTGTATTTGCACACACACACACAAACACACACACACACATACACACACACACACACACACACACACACACACACACACACACACACACACACACACACACACACACACACACACACACACACACACATGTATGTATGTTTATACATATGCACAATTATCCTCACTTATATGACACATATGTTATTCTTTTATGCTTCCTTATCTTTGTATACCTGGATATTCATTGTAATTTTTGGATCGACAGAAATTTTTATCTGTACGAAATCTGTTATCGTTTTTTTTTTCCTTTGATTATTCCATTGATTTAGCTCATAAGGAAACTATAAGGCTTAATTCACCATACATCATTTGTATTAATCACCAAAATTAAATTAACTGTTGACAAGAGAGAAGAAAAAAAAAAGATCAACAACAAAGAATATGATTTAAAACTAGACACTGTTAATCCTAACACCGAATTCTCACAGCAGAATAACCCCTCTACCTCCCTTTTCAGAACCAGGATGAAGAAGGAGAAGAAGAAGCAGCGTGCAATAAAGAAGGGGCAAAGGAGACATCAGAAACAGGGGGGGCAGCAGGAGGGAGTGACCCCCTGTCAGCTGAGGCCTGCCTGGCGAGGGGGGCGAGCAAGAGCCGCATTGTCAGTCAGGCGGAAGTGGAATGCAATATGTCAAGGGTAAGATTTGCGGTGTGTGGGGAGTGGGGGGGGGTAGTTTGTTTGTGTGTGTGTGTGTGTGTTGGGGCGGTTAACGTGTGTATAGGGGTTGGTTGTTTGTGTGTGTAGGGTGTGTGGGTGGGCTGTGTGTGTTTCTTTATGTGTGTGCGTGTATGTATGTGTGGTTTGTCTTTTTTTGTCTATATGTGTGTTTCTTCACGCTGCCTGTAGGAATGGACTTGTGTGTATGTGTGATAGGGAGATTGTATAGGCGAGGTGTCTGGTAGGGTTAGAGTGTGTGAGTGGCGGGTGAATGTGTGTATGAGTGTGTGTATCTGCAGACGTGTATGAGTGTGCGGACTGCTTCTTTGCATGCATAGATGGAATACAGTTTAATGAATCAATTAACAATGAAAATTAGTTAGTTGGTTAGTAATAACAAATAGAATCAGTAAGTAAAACAAGGGTAGAAGAAGGAGGAAGAGAATTGGGAGGAAAATTGCAAATTGGCTTATGAGAAGAGGAAAGCCATGAAGAATACGATTTGTGATTCCTTCTAATAATCTCTCTAAGAAGGAGAACTGAAAGGTAGAAAGTAAAGCTTCATTTTTACTTTAAATACTGTATAAACAAAAAGACCATTGAATTACGCAGGGCATCTTGCAAGAGAAACTACAAATCAGATGACAAAAATGATGTTCGTAATGTGACATCGGAGAATAGAAGATCTAGGTAAAGGTTTGAAGAAAAGAAATTAAATATCACAGGAGAGTCTAGAACAATGTGAGTTTCCAATGACGTCATCATTATGATCAACTCTTACTTATTCACCCCCCCCCCCTGCTAGTACGGTAATCTTGGTCTTTTTTTTTCTAGTTACATCCCCTTGATTTCAAACCAATTTTTTTCTTTGTGGGATAGTTTAATCCCTTTAAGATTTTCTGTGTTTTGTGGGATACCCTTGTTCACCATTTGTTATCTTGTCCCACATCTTTTGAATACTTACCTGCTACAAGGTACAGTTAGCCAGGCTCTTATACCAACTGTATCTATTATTTCTAATTGCCCAGTCCATCTCGCGTTTTGTTATTCTATCATAGCTACCATGTACTTTACTGTAGGCCACGATCTAAACATAATATATGCTGACAATATAGTATTAATAGCGAAAAAATATAGATCTGGCGAGTTTATCTGGATAAACAAGGATGGAAGAAGGATAAGGATGTAGGAAAGAAAACAATGCATTAGGAGGTATGTGTAATTATGCATGCTGTATGAAAGTGTGTATGTGCGTATGTATGCCGTTTGTTAGAATGGGATGATGTATGCGTGTGGAGTTGCCATTTGGTACATTTTGTTAGTATGATGTGTTTTTGTTGTATGACGCGTATACACATAATGCTTTGGATATATATTAATATATACATTTTATTTTAATGATGTAAACCAGACATACATATAAATATAATGACTTTTACTCATCCCTGTATATAAAACTACCCCCACCAATCACTACTAAATTTTCCTCTCCCCCCCGTCGCCCATCCAGTACGAAGGCACATTCGAAGACTACCTCGAGATGTTCATCCAGTTCGGCTACGTCACTCTCTTCTCCTCCGCCTTCCCTCTGGCTGCGATGTGCGCTTTCCTCAACAACCTCATCGAGATTAGGTCGGACGCCTTCAAGCTGTGTTGTGTGTTCCAGAGGCCTTTTGGACACAGGGCGCAGAGCATTGGGGTGTGGCAGGTAAGGTCTGTTTGGATGGTGGGTGGGGAAGGTGGGTTGAAGTGAAAGGGTGGGTGGGGAAGGTGGGGTTGGTGTGAAAGGGTGGGTTGGTGTGAGGGAGTCGGTGGGGAAGGTGGGTTGGAGTGACGGGGAAGGTGGGTTGGTGTGAAAGGGTGGGTTGGTGTGAGGGAGCTGGTTGGAGTGTGGGATGAGGTGGGTGGGGAAGGTGGTGTTGGTGTGACGGGGAAGGTGGGTTGGTGTGAAAGGGTGGGTTAGAGTGACGGGGAAGGAGGGTTGGAGTGTGGGATGAGGTGGGTGGAGAAGGTGGGGTTGGAGTGACGGGGAAGGTGGGTTGGAGTGAAAGGGTGGGTTGGAGTGTGGGATGAGGTGGGTTGGGAAGGTGGGTCGGAGTGAGGAGAGGGAGTTGGTGTGAGGGTGTGGAGGAAGAGGGGGAGGGGAGGAAGTGGGTTGGAGTGAAGGGGGGTAGGTCGGTTGACGTTAGGGTGGGAGAGAGGAAATTGGATAGGGTGATGAGGGGAAAAGTGGGTTGTAGTGAGGAAAGGGAGGTCGATTGAATGGACGTAAGAAAAAAGAAAAAAAGAAAAAAAAATGGGTTAGCTTAAGGCAGGTTAAAGTGAGCATGAAAAGGTGGGTTAAGATGGTTCGAGTTAAGGTAAGGAGGTGGGTCTGAGTGAGAAGATAGACCGGCTGAGGGTAAGGAGGTGGGTTAGGTAGAGGATGGCTAAAGGGTGGATGAGAAATATGGATTGAAATATAGGATGGAGAGGACAAGAGGACAAGAGGATTAGAGTGCAGGAGGTGGGCGTTGGTGGTTGGCAGGAGGAAGGCGTTGGTGGTGGGCAGGAGGTAGGCGTTGTTGGTGGGCAGGAGGTGGGTGTTGGGTGGGCTGAATAAGCGATATTAGATGAGTTAGGATGAGAGGCCTTGGTAGGAAGGGGGGGTCGCTTAATCTGGGATGAGAGAGAAGGTGGGTTGGCGTGGGTTGAGAGAATTTGTGGGTGAGAGGGTGGGTGAGGGAAGGTGTTTGGAGGAGTGGATGAGGCTAAAGTGGAAAGGCAGGGGAGGGGCGAGCTGGGTGAGAGGGGGGGGGGAGTTAAATGAGGGAGGATATGAGGGCGGTGGGGGTGGAGAGGTGGGATTTAGGTGTGCTTTCTTATCCCTTAATCTCTCTCTTCCTCTATCTATCTCTATCTACCTCTATTTATTGATCTGTCTAATTTATATATTTGTCTGTTAAACTATCTGTTTATATATCTATATGTCTCCTTTTTTTCTCTTCTTCTCATTCCATGACTTCTCTCTATTTTTTCTCTCTTTCTTTGATACACCAGTTAGTTAAACAGTTCATGATTTTTTTTTTTTCATATAATTCTTATCGTATTAAAATCTGAATTAATCTGTCTGAAATATAAACATATGATATGAATATCTAACACATATATGAATAAACAGATATATGATAAAAGATTCAATGCAGAATCGAATGATAATTATAACCACCATACTTGCACGTCTTGCAGGATGCAATGGAGCTGATGGGTGTTCTAGGAATCATGGTCAATTGCATGTTGATAGGCCTCTCCGGGCAGGTGCACCGGATGTTCCCGGAAATGTCAACAGCTCATACTATATTGCTCATTATTGTACTGGAGGTGAGTGTTCTGTTTCCTTTTATCTTTTATTTATCCTTTTATTTTTTACAGTTTTATGGTTAGGTTAGCACTTTGTTCATTGTCATTTAATTAAAAACTATTTGTCATTATAGATGGACAGACAAAAATGAAGATTCATTTTCATTTCCGTCTTGTTTAAGAATTTGAATGACAAGGTCTTGAAACGGGTTAATGCTGTGATATCAAAGATTCAAGACTTGTGACGATGAAAAGTAAGGTAGATTGGTAGACAAAAAGATGGACAAACACAAAGGCTTACATACAGGTAGGTAGATATATAGAGAGACGACAGACAAACAGACAGATAGACAGACAGAGAGACGACAGACAATAGACAGACAGAAAGACACACATAAAACAAATCATTACACACAGCTAACTGGAATGACACAGATAGAGAAATCCACTGAACCTATTGGACTTACAGATCACATTCAGATAGGCAGATATATAGAGAGACGACAGACAAACAGACAGATAGACAGACAGGCAAAGAGACGACAGACAATAGACAGACAGGCAAAGAGACGACACACAATAGACAGACAGGCAAAGAGACGACAGACAGAAAGACACACATAAAACATATAATTACACACAGCTAACTAGACTGGCACAGACACACAAACACCACTGAACCCACTGAACTTCTCCAGCACGCCATGATCGCCCTGAAGTACGGCATCAGTTACGTCATTCCCGACATCCCTGCCTGGGTGGCGACGGAGATGGCCAAGGTGGAGTTCCAGCGGCGTGAGGCCCTCCGCCGCCTCTCCACCTCCAACTCTCCCCCAACACGTGAGGAATCCCAGTCACCCTCCCCTAGGTGAGCTAACATGGTCGGCCCTTCTAACAGTATCCTTCTCTCTTCCTCGTTGTGTGATTTCTTCTTGGCTCATGGACGAGTGTTTAAGTCTCTCTCATTCTCTCTCTCTTTTCTTTCTTTTTTTCTCTCTCTATTTGCTTTTTTTTCCCTTTCTTTCTATTCTTTCTTTCCTTCTCTCTTTCTTCTGTAGTCTTCTTGATTCTTTTTTTTACTTCTTTATACTGCTTCTGCTTCTTTTATGTCAAATTCTTCTTTTTCCTGTATCGTAGGCTTGAGAGAGTATCTAGTTGTTTCCTTTTTTTATGGTAGAGATTTTAAAGCACATAATAACAACAGTTTTCCCTTCCTCTGCTTCCAATCTTTCCTTCGCCGTTGTAGTTTTTCCTTCAACACTTTTTTTCCAGCATCCTTTTTTTTAACAAATTAAAAAAATCTTTTCGTCTCCTTTATTTTTTTCCAATCTCATGAATTTGGCTTTGCCCCGTGCGAGGAGAGATCCTTTAACCCGGTTCTGTCTCAACCCCAGCAGGTACTTGTTTGGGCATTCGATAACGTCTACCACTGAGTATGTGGACCGTAGTGCCCAGACGGACATTATGTATTCCAGGAGACGATCCTTCAAGACGTCGCCGGCCAGCACCATAGACGAAGACGAGGTTCTGTCTCCCACCGACGTCGAGCTTGAGAACCGAAGCGTGGCGTCGGAAGCGGCGGCGGCCGAGACCAGAGCGGCGGCGACGGCGGGATCCGAACGCGACGGACGGAAGGAGGACGACCTGCGCATGCGCGAGCTCGAGAGTTTCGAGGGCGCGAAGGCGCGGCCGATCGTGCGCCTCGGTCGGAGCGTGTCTGCGTGCGAGCGCGTGCACCACCGCGTGCCGCGCATCCACCGCATCATGAACCAAGAGAGCGCCGAGTCCAACGACTCGGAGGAGGACCTCATCGCCAAGCCCTTCGACAGCCTGCCGCTGCTGTCGGCACCAGCCGCCATGGACAACAAGAACCGGCTGTTCCGGTTCTCGCCGGACAACGAGCGCGTCCTGGGGGCCATCAAGCCGCGGTCGCGCCTCCTCGAGAAGCCGGACTTCTCGTACGGGACGCAGCTGTCGTCGCGCTCGGTCGAGTGCGTGTCGGACACGTCGGCGCTGATCCGCTTCTCGGACGATTCGCGGAGTCACATCAGCGAGGAGGGCGAAGGCACGCCCGAGCAGAGCACGGGCAGCAGGTCGCCCACGCCCCCGGCGGAGGAGACGAAGGAGGCCGGCACGCCTCGCGCGCACTCGCTCGAGCAGACGCCGTCCCCGACCAAGGAGGAGGCCAAGGAGGGCCCCGCGCGCCGCAAGCCTCCCATGAAGTTCCTCAAGCGCGCGCAGAGCCTCTCGTACGTGTTCAAGCGCACCAAGCCCGAGAAGAGGAAGAAGGTCATCCGCGACGACTATGCGGCGCTGCCCACGACGGTGGAGCCGCAGGGCGAGATGGCCCTCGTGCCGCTCGAGAAGCTCGTGGCCATCGAGGACATCCAGATGCAGCCGTCGCTCTCCAGCTACAGCTGCTACGCCGACTAGGTGCCCCGCCGCCTCCCTTCTGCCGCGGCCGCCAGCGCTCGCTCGTCCGCTCGGCGGCCCAACAGCTGCTTTTAGAGGACCGTCGCAATTGCACAGTTCTTGTGGCCTCGTTTAGACGTGTAATAAAACATAAAAAATAAACAATAAAAAGGATTAGTCGAGGCTTCAACTTCAAAAAATCTGGGACAAAGAAAGTAGCTCATACTAGATTAGCGGAATCCGACACGTGTGTTTGTTTAGGCCTTACTCCCCCAGCCGCCCGCCGCGGAGGGGGGCCAAATCTATGGTTACGTCATCAGTTCGACAGGTGTGTGGTCAAGGCACACTCAGTGTTACGCATAATTACTTGTTGATGTATAATATATATAAAGCATAGACAGAGATACCACAAAAAAGAGATAAATTTTGTTATCTATTTGACGAATAGATAAGCCTTTAATGAAAAATCACTTACGCTTCTACACAGTTGATGATGTGTGTACATGAAATATGATAGCAAGTGTGTATGCTATGTATGCGTGTGTGCGTTGCGTCTTTGTATACACGTGAACGTTTCTCTGGAGTGTGTGAACAAGCAACATTGTGTGTGTCTACCAGCCAGACGCCAAGCCGAGACGAAGCGAATTAGTGTGTCGATGTGTATCTTGCCTCCTTCGTGGTTTCGTCCCTTTTTTCCTTCGTTCAGTGACTCACAAGCTTTGTAGCGAGTTTATTGGCTTCGGTGTGTAAAGCTGTGCATCAATGGGCTTGCTTTCATACGGGAGGGAGAGAGGGAGAGAAAGAGAGGGTGAGAGAGAAAGGGTGAGAGAGATAGGGTGAGATAGATAGAGAGAGAGAGAGAGAGAGAGAGAGAGAGAGAGAGAGAGAGAGAGAGAGAGAGAGAGAGAGAGAGGGAAGAGAGAGAGAGAGAGAGGGGGGGGGGGAGAGAGAGAGAGAGAGAGAGAGAGAGAGAGAGAGAGAGAGAGAGTAAGGGAAAGAGAGATAGAGAGAGAGTAAGAGAAGGAGAGAGAGAGAGTAAGGGAAGGTGAAAGAGAGAAAGAGAGAGAGAGAGAGATTGAGACAGAGAGCGAGAGAGAGAGAGAGAGAGAGAGAGAGAGAGAGAGAGAGAGAGAGAGAGAGAGAGAGAGAGAGAGAGAGAGAGAGAGAGAGAGAAATGGAATGATACTGAGATAGGAAGAGAGAAAGTGAATAGATAGTAAATATATCGAGAAAGAGAGAAAGAGAGAGGCAGTACATAGATAGATAGCAAGATAGA